TATATTGATATATTGGAATGAAACTTCTAAAAGTATATTTAATATTTATATTGAAAAAACTTTCTTCTAAAAGTTTATTTAAAATGTTTTTGAAAAAGTTAGTTTATAAAATTACTAAAAGTCTATAAATTATAAGTTGGGGGAGTTTAAAAGGCCGATTAATTGATTGAATTAAATATTTTTAATAATGTTAACAGTTAAATATAAAATAATATTAAAAAAAATACATATTTAGTTATTTGAAACATAAATAAATTTTTAATAAATTAATGAGAAAAAATAGTATCTTATTAGTTAAAATATTTTTATAAACAGTTGATGTAGCTTATTATAATAAATTAGAAACAATTAACATAAGCTCACATATTAAATACTTTAGTTTTAATTAAATTAATTTATAATACCTAATATACATTGCCAAACATACTCTTATGTACTTCTCTTGCTTTCTTTGGTATACCTTGCATTGATCTTGGTATTTGCTTCTTGCAATAAATTCTTTTTTTGTTTGATACATTAATTTTCAGAATGTTCTGGTGACATGAAATGATATCGAAAAAAATCTTTTAGAAGTCTAATTGTATATTCTAAGAAACATAGTTTTAGAATATTCATAAAAGAAATACATTAAGAACTATGTTTTGAAATTATATTTTCATAATTATATACAAATAGATATCTCAAATTTTATTTTCAAAAATGAGAGTAAGAAGTAAATTTTTGAAATTATAATTTAAGAAATATACAAATAGGTTTCCAAAATTATAATCCCAGAAAATAATTAGACTTTGAAAATTTAATTATTGAGTGTAAGATTAAAAGTATTTAAAAAAAAAATTAGAGAGATAAGATATGTATGTAGAAAAAATTAGTTGTGCAAAAAGTAATTACCTTGCACCAAGCCTTTGGGTTGGTTTTCACCAAAAATTGCATCAAATCTAGGCCCAAATTACCAACAAAAAAAACAAATGTGAAAACAGCATGGAATCAACGTAAAAACAAATGTTAATATTAAAATTTAATAACGTGTGAATAAAGATTTAACTACTGAATTTTTTTTTCTATAACTATGATATTATGATGTATTCATCAATTATTTTGATAATTGGTCTTCGTGAGAGAAATTTAAGATTAAATGCAATTGTTACCTAATTTTCAAGTTAAAAAATGCTTGCGTAGTATAAATCGCACAATTTACAAGTAATGTATAAAATTTTATGTTATATTTAAAAATAATATAATTTTAAAATCTTTATTTTCCTTATGTAAAAATATTCTTATCTATAAAACCTTTAAAATAATTAAAGTTGTAATATTTAATCAAAATATGTTAAAAACAAATAAAATATATTTATATTTCTAATAATTAATATAAAAAATAATTTCATAGATCTTTTTTTAATTAATAAAAATATTCACAAT